TTGATTAATATATTTCTTCTTACATTAGCAACTAAATTATCACTAATTCGTTTGATTATAAATCTTAATTGACTACTTAAGGCATCAACGGGAATTTCATTCTAAAATTTGAATTTTTAACAATTATATTTATCAATTAACAAAAAAAATAAAAAATTTACCATATCACAAGCAAATAATGTATAAACTGTATAAAGATAATAATCAAAAAGTTGTGTCATACAAATAATAACATCAAATGCAATAGGTTTAAGCATTTCGATCATTTCCATATATCGACCTTTAATTTTGATGACAAAAAAAAGTTTCGTTTTTTTTTTTTTTTTAAAAAGAAAAAAAATATTTACCAAATAATCTGGTTACATTTAAAGTTGTATTTGTAACAATATTTGATCCATTTTTTTCATCATGATATCGAGAATGATTATGATGAATCGAAGAACGTTTTCGTTCATTATCATCATTTTCAATATCGGAATCAGTTGTTGAATTTGAATTTGATCGAAATTTTTTTTCCTATGAAAAGAAAAAAAAAAGAATTTTTAAATATTATTCATTAAAAAACTTTTTTTTTTTAACAAACATTATAAGAATTTCCATTGAGAATATTTCCATCATCAACATCAAAAGAATTCGTATCACTATATTGTGATGGTGAAGATGATATTGTTATTTGTGTTTGATCAAGATCAAATGGATGTTCACGTTCAGTATATAAATATCGATCAAATAAATCAAGATCAGATTTTTGATTAAATGATGTTGAAGTTGTTAAATCCGATGAAAATGATGATGTTTCACGTAGAAATCGAAATTCCTAATAAAAAAAAAAATCATATTTTATTATTAATAAAGTTGAAAGATATGTTCATTTAAATAAGAAATATTTTTATTATATATACACTATGAGATAATCTTACATGTAATTGAGTTATATGAAAGGTTGATTTAACTGGACATCGTTGCCAAATTTCATTTTCAAGAAACATTTTTAATTCATCTAAACGACCATTATGATATGAACGAAAATAAACTACACTTTGTCGACGCATAGCTTCTTGAAGTATACTAGAATCACTTTGACAAAATTGTTCACCGATTTCCATAAGTCTAAATTTTTTTATTATGAAAAATATAAAAGAAAGAAAAATATTTTACCGATTAATAACTTTAAGTACTTGTATAAATGATTCAAATTTAAAATGTATTATATTATTATTTTCAAGTATAAATGTTTTCATTTTTTGTTGAATTTCATGCCATAAACGACTTGATCCACTTTCAAGTTTTTGAATAAGAAAATCTTGACTTGGTTCTGGTCTATCATCTTTTGTAGCTTCAATATAAACAAAAATAAATATTTAACAAAAAAAAAAGAAATAGATATATATATATTATTTTACCTTCAATTGATGCAGGATTTTTTTCATGCCAAAGCCAAATTAATTTATAAGATTTAATTATTTGCCAAAAGCATACATTAAGTTCATGCAAACAACTGTAAAATGATTCTTCTGGAATCATCTAAACAAATCAGTTATTTTTATTTTTTCGTAGGAATCAACAATATGTTAGTTCGTTGGGATTCACCATTGGAAGATAAGAAGATAATAGATCTAGACAATGTATTATTGTAAAAACAGAGCAACTGACGAAGGAACTCCTCAGATGTCCCTTCCTGATTCAATGATTTTTTTTTATAATTTTTAATATGTCTATTTTCTAGAAGTTCCAGGTTTTTGGAAAACTCGTATTTTGATCTGAAACTTTGTGTATGTAGAGAACCAACTAGACTAGCTTAAATAAGAAATTCCGCAGCGTTGAACGAAGTCTCTTCGAGATATGAAGCTTTCATAAAAGGTATGTTATATGTACTATCCATGGAAAAGAGTCTGATCTTTTTTTATGGAAGTCAGTCTAGTTGAGTTCCCTATATGCACCAAATTTCAGATCAAAATTTTAAAAATATAAGTCTTTCAAAAACTTGGGACCTCTAGAAAATAGACGTGTTAAAAATTCGATAGCTTAGTCAAATCTCAATGGGAACCCAAATCCTTTTAGGATTTTTATTAGAAATCGCAAGGTGACATCTGAAGAGATTCTCTCGTGAGTTCTCAATTTTTGGTATGAAGAAATTCAGCTTTGGTTAAATATCAAAAAAGGTTTTCTTAAGAAACGGATTTTCACATGAAATGTGCAGGATCAATTTCAGTTTCGGTTAGCATGATCAAATCGGGACTGGAACTACGAGAAAAAGAGTAGACCGAACCGGAACTAAAGATTATAGTTGGACGTTCTACGATTCTAAGAAAGTTATCTACCAATCGCTGCATAAATTAAAAAAACCGAGTATTTAAGAATTCTCTGAGATTTGATATGCATAAATTCTGGAATAGTTTTCTCTAGACTGGCGGTCGAAAACTAAAATCATCACGATCAAGGCTATTGCCAGGACTAGAAAAACTTAGTTCCATACACTTCTTGTTTCTACTAATCTACCACTATATAGCAAGAAAAAATCAACTATTTATTTTTACAAAGAATGCAATCGGCTAAGAAGAAGGATGTCAAGCAAAAATTTCCTTTAGCATACTTTCAACTTGTTTACATACGAGTATAAATCATCTTTACAAATGATTTCATATTTCTTGAGTTCATTTACAAACATTCGAATATATTCTTTCCAAAAACGATTGCCTTTAACAAGAAAATTATCTTTTTAAAACTCTTTTTTCTGTTTCCCACAGTCCTACAAAGCCGTTGACACAATCTCTAAAAGATAAAAACATGAAATACGACATAACTGCTGTTACTAATTATAGTTGGCTATGGGCAAACTAATTCAAGTTGATAGAATAAGTATTCTATATTCTGTTTAGTTTATTGAGGAAAATGAGACTCGTACTATCATCTTATTTTTAACTTGCTCTTATAAACTTCTATTTTTCCATTTTCATTAAATCATAGTATGTATGAAAGAAAGTATCCAAAAATCTTATCCTATACTCATTTTTTATTTTATATAAATAATTTACTTTGCATAAATCAATATAAGAAGATAAATTTTGATCATTATTTGTTAATCCAATAGTTTTTAATAAAATTTCTAATGTACGTGTTTGTACAACATTAACAAAATGCATTTGTAATTGATCCATAAATGTTAATGATTTTCCAAGTAAACGATATGCATTTAATAAACATTGATATGTATGTGGATTAAAATTTGAACAAAGTTTAGCTAATGTTACATCAATTGATTCTTCAATAAAATCTAATGTATCTTGAAGTTTTGTTGGAAGATCTCTGAAGATAAAAAAAAAAAAAAGAATATTTTTACAAAGTAAAAAAAACAATAACGTTTGTCAACACATAGTGATTAATAGTTTTTTTTTGTTTTTTACATACCCTATACATTGATATTCTTTATAATGAAGAACAGTATTTTCACATTGTGAACATAATTGAATTGCACCAACAAAATCTTCTTGCTAAATAAATAAACTAAGT